GGTCGATCTTCCACTCAGCCATCGATATTTAGTATACTTTATTGAATACTGAGTTTTTTACAAAGTTTAGAAATTTTAAATTCGTGAATTTTGTTGTTGAATAAACTATCATTTTTTAAAACATTAGTTTAATGAAATTAAATTAAAAAACTTTTCATGCACGTACATATGTACTTATAAAAATTAATTTCATAATTCATTATTTGAAATTATTTCTTCATTACTTTTTTATTATATTTTATTATTTTCGTTTCATGTTCATAATACAAATTAAATATAAATTTAATTACTCAGCGCGATTCACGAATACCATGACAAAATGAGACTGTATTGGTGTGCCCATCTATGCCATGAACCAAAAATACAAGATCACCTAATCAAAGAAGCAAGAAAAAAGTATATTTCTGAGTGTTTTTGACATCTGCCTAAAAATGAAAACAAACAAAGAAAACGAAAAAGGCGCGGTGATTGAGTGCGATTAAATTGGTATTTATTATAAAATATACAAAATGAAACTTGATGACAATTAGCAAAAAAAGTTCATAAAATATGGTTTTCATGATTGAAAGTGTTTTACAATCGCATATCATTACCACGGGTCGATTTTTCAATGCCAACGTTCTGGCCACAAACGTGCACCTACTTTTCACGCAAATTTACGCCTTTTGGCAAACCAAACATACGCACAAACTTGTTCCGATCACACAGCACTTTATTTTATATCATAAATATGTAATAAACCAAAATTTATAATTAAAATCGCTGCAGAAAACACATTCAATCGCTAAAAAATCACTACGAAGAGGTAGAAGACGGTGTAAACAAAACCGAAAAACGTCAAAAACGCTACGAAAACTTTTTTCTGAAAATCGATTACAAATACAACGATGGCTGATTAGGTGATCTGTAGTCGTTGGTTCATGCATCTATGCTATGCACATACGTATCTATGCACATACGTATCTATGCACATACGTATCTATGCACATACGTATCTATGCACATCAGCATTTTAGTTGAAAGTACGTTTTGCTCGTCGCTCTCTTCATCGCTCCACTACATTCCTGTCCTTAGTTTTATTCAGATACCACAAATGCGCGATCCATAAAATTCTTCTATCATTCTTGCCACAAATGTATGTTTTCTTCGAAAATACTAAAGTACTACCAGTAGAGTACTCTACTGTCAAATACCTTTTACTCGCAGTAGTTGCGGAAGGCAAAGTAAATACTCTACGCGGCTTGCTATCAGTGTTGCCAGAACTTTTTGGGCCGACCGGCTAGATTGGCAAAAAAAAGCGGCTAAAAACGGCTAAAATGTTTTAGTGAAAATTGACATGCTTTATTTAAGTAAATCGCAAGAAACGAAAGACTAGTTAACACCATTAATTTATATCGAGTGTATATTCCTCATCATCAAATGAATCACTATTGTATATATCACCTGAATTCATTAATTTTAAGAGATCGTCATCTACAGTAGAATTATGGCAGCATTTTTCTTCACGTTTTAAACCGTATCTTACATATATATAAAATAGCGTTTAACGTTTCATTGAACTAAATATTCGCTCTACTTCTGCATTACTTATAGGCAAAACAAGAAAACTAAAAACTAGGTTGCAAAGGTCAGCAAAAGGGTTTTCTCCTAGGGCATTTCGAAATTGATAAACTTCGGCCCAAAATTTTACAGTTGAGTCTAAATTACTCCAGGTATGTAACGTTAACCGTTGCCATTGCATCTCTATGGATGTTATTTCGTCGGCATTATATTTGTGTTTTTGTTGCTGTAGTTGAACAAATACTTTTGGTTTAATTACTCTTAATGCATTTCCAACCGAAAAAAGTCAATTTTTTTTAGTGTGGCAATATTTGTAGGGAGGCGTTGGCGTAATTCCTTTATTAAAGTGATAATAAAATAGCGACCATTTTCTCGAATTATTTTCTCGGCTTCGTGGTCAAAAGCGTTTGTGCTTACTTTTGTTTTTAAATACTCTTCAAAACTGTGATAAAACTGAGGAAATGGAGCAAGGAACCACCACCACCACCAGCATATAGGATCAAATGTGTCCGCGCTAATAACCACTAGAGAGCATAGATGCGAAAGTAAAACATTGAGTTCATTAAAAATCTTCATTGGGTCTGCATTATTGCTTTCGAACAACTTGTTTACTTTTTGCACCTGAAAATTAGGCAAATAGTAAAATCGGCTAAAAACGGCTAACTTTTTTTTACAAACCGGCTAACAAATCGGCTGCCGGCTAGATCGAATTTTCTCCGGCTAGTTGCTATCAAAACCGGCTAAATCTAGCCGGAAAACGGCTAAAATGGCAACGCTGCTTGCTATTGATCGGTAGTTTACGTACGCTTGCAGAAACTGGTTTATGCTTACTCACACTTGACCCGAACGATGAGAGTAAAGGAGGGAAAGTATTTGCGCGGCAATCGGATGTCTTGTTAGGGTCTTTAAATGGAATTGCGTAGGAGTTTAATAAGTATATATCAGTGGTAAACTCTTTTAGGCTATAAAGTGTAAAAAACAACAGTAAGTGAGTATGCATTGTATATTTTTTAGACAATGTTTTCATCCGCAGTTATTTTTTAAGAGCTCTCAAGAAAAACAAAAAATGCACATAAAATGGCGCACAAGAAATGGAAAAGAAATTTTCTTCTACAAAAGTTTCTTAAATCAGTTTGAAGCTCTCAAGAAAAAATGCTTATTTATTTATATATTTTTTAATTTATTTCTTCAAGACAATTTATAACATTAGCAAAGTGTTTTTGCAAGCAATAGAAATAATAAAAAGTATTTTTTGTTATTCTTCTTGAGAGCTGGATACTAAGCTTTAAGATGCAGTTTGTATATGTATTATACATTATTAGCTTTAGGGGCGTTTGAACCCCAAAACCCACCTCTTGGTGCACTAATGTGTCAGTGTCTTCTAGATTTAAACGGCTTATGGGTTATATGAAAATTTACATCACCATGAGATCAGTTTATTCATGCGAGTTTGGTATTAAACGGTTGGTCCAACGTCCATTGCTTCTTGCGTCTCATTGCCTTTGCCAGTTTGACAGAGTTGTGTTCCTTGCAATTTAATTTTTCAGGGCTAGTGGTAATTCTTACGGTGACTAGAAATTGGCCAGCTTTGTCAGGGCTTCGACTTACGAAATGCACATTACACACTTATGGCGTTTTTTTTTTAGTTTCACTTTTATTTCAACATATTTTGATTAAAAGAAAAATACTGATAAAAATAAAATTTTTCATAAAAACAGGGTTGAAATCTTGAAATTCCTGCCCGTATTTTGTTTGTAAGTCAAATATGGGTGGCATTGTGCTACTATGATAGCACGGCCGAAGAATCATAGCCAACTTATTTACAGTAGTCGAAAAAATTATAGCCGCACCAAATTTTGACAAGTTTTAAAATATTATTTTTGTTGTTATTTAATTTCGGTTAGGGTTTTATAGTTCGTTCTTTACCAAAATCCGTATAAATACAAGTTTAAAGGCAGTGTCACCCAAAATATTTTTCACTATCCCAATCACAAAAATTAGTTTATTAAAATTTTTCAATAGAACATCGCTGTATTGTACCAATATTTTGAATGCAAAAAAAAATTTCCCATTTNTAGTTCGTTCTTTACCAAAATCCGTATAAATACAAGTTTAAAGGCAGTGTCACCCAAAATATTTTTCACTATCCCAATCACAAAAATTAGTTTATTAAAATTTTTCAATAGAACATCGCTGTATTGTACCAATATTTTGAATGCAAAAAAAAATTTCCCATTTTTTTTTAACAATAGCCCAATATAAAAATTTACAAATCTGTACAAATGTAGCAATCAAGTGACATTGCCTTAAAAATTTATGCAATTTAAAAAAAATTCTACAAATTTTCGTTAAAATTTCGAGTTTTTTAATTAAATTCTGAGTATGCAGTTTTGTAGCCCATTGAATTCTAGTAGAATAGAGTACAATTTCAATTTCAATTAAAATTTCGAAATTTGTACGAAAGTTTGTTGATTTTTTTTTAATATTGCACAAATGAGTAGTCCACTTGCAAACAGCGTTATGTGATTTTATAATAGTGAGCCATAAATAAAAAAAAAACGTCTACAACAACAAGTAACATCCAAATTGTATATTTCTCTTAATTATCTGAAAATTTGTATAAACAAGAGCCTAATGACATTAAAAAACAATATCGCAGTGTGGTAGTTTTTGCAAATTTTATATATGAAAATTTAATACAGCGAGTTTTGAAACAGTAACTTTTACATAGCTATCTTTTTTTAGCTTTTCGCGTTCTCTCTTCCATGAAGATTGGTCTGCTTCTTTTTTAAATTGCCTTCCACTAGACACCGAAGCTACCACGTTTTCTTGCAGTTTTCTAAGTTCATCAGAAGATGGAGACTTTTGAAAGTGTATAAATAAGTATTATAGCGATTTTTGCAATATTAGTTAACATTTAATGCTATTTTCCAAAAAATAGAAAGATTTTGCACACTATTGTTAGTGGACATGAAACTACTTTACGTTACGTACGTTACTCACCAAAAACAAAAAATCTAAAAAAAATTGACATAGCGCCGTTGCAAGTGGAATACTCAAATTTGGAAACATGGATTTCCACTGGTTTTATTAAAGAATGAACTATATTTTTATTAACAAAAAAAAAAAAAGTTCAATAACAACAAAAAAAATACGTTAAAACTTGGTCGACGAGATTTAAGCGGAGTTGCTTAAACCTCGTAGGGGGGCTGTGTGAAGCGACTTTATAAATAAACAACCAGAACAATTTATCGTTAATTCAATATATGTATAGCGTTTAATTAAAAATTCAAAATTTACAATTCGCGTTTAACTAGTGTAAGTATTATATACAGCAAATTAAACTTCAAAAGTACGAGAGTAGAATGTCGTTCGGTTGGCGGTCACGAAACTAATGTCGCTTTCGCCTTACAAAAGGGACGTATATATGTATATAAATATGTAACAAAATAGAATAAAAAATTGAGAGATTTTAGAGTTCAATAAGGTTGCCGGCTTGCCCATCATGACCATACCGGCCCCCTTGCACCGTTGCAATGTTACGTAAGGCATCCTGTAAATTCTGCAACGACGTCACGGCTGCATTCACTAAAGTATCTAGTTGACGGTTCTTATGGACCCGACCGCGGCGCACGGACTTCCTAGCGATGACAGAAGACGGTTTTGTGATGGTGGTAGGGCGTGGCTGTTTCGCTGCCCTTTTTTGGCTACAAATACATACACGCGTTGGCGCGTTCCTGCCATGTTCGTCGCGATCCTGAATGGCTTTAGGTACGATTGCGCTCCTAAGGCTCCTTCCTATCCTATCGTTGTGGAGAAGCATGTGGTGTGCCATTTTACATATGCAGCAGCAGTGTCGAGAAGGGCATTTGGCGGTGGTATGCGAACGTGCCAAACAGTTTGCACAATATTTGTGTACTTTGACTGCATCCAATCTTTCCAGTGCGTCCATTTTTCTGAAGCTCGGGCAGGCCTGCAGAGGATGAAAGCGGCAGCAGATTCGGCACTGATATATATCCGGTGATCTGTAAGAACGAACAGTTGAATTAGTGTGAGGACACAACTGAAGGGCTTAGGTGTCATGGGTAGTACATGAGTTCAAAATGGGTGAGTTTTAGAGTGGTAGCATGAGTTAATTGTGCAAGCAGGAACAATTTAGTGGGGTTTTGATTCATTGAATGGGTAGAACGCAGAGTTTAACAATGGGTCGAGTGTAGATGCCTGTTTGGGTCTTAACATCCGCAACTCTGGCATGGTTATCAGCGCCTCGGTGAACTTTAAGGATTCTTCCCAGACGCCATTCTTGGGGTGGTAATAGATCGTCTCTGACTACTACGAGTTGGCCTTCCTCGATATCATCATCTGAATTCTTGATGCAGAGTTTTCACTTTTTGCCATCGGTTTACGAGCGACATGTTTTCAGCAGTCAGTTCGGGTATTGCACGTAATGGGGCGCCTCGAAGAAAATGACCTGGAGTTAGTACTAACAGGTCCGTGGGATCTTCAGACATTGGAGATAAAGGCCTGGAGTTTAAAATTGCCTCTACGCGGGCGAGTAGAGTTGTGAATTCTTCGAAGTTGAATTTATCAGGACCGGCAACTTTGGTAAAATGCGTTTTGAAGTTTTTTACACCGGACTCCCACAGGCCACCCATGTGAGGAGCGTGTGGAGGAATGAATTGCCATTCGACTGCTTGGATACTGAAGGTGTTTACAACTTCGGAAGAAACTGGTTTGAGGAAGGCATCAAAGTTTTTTTCAATGCACGTTGCGCCCCAACGAAAGTTTTGCCATTGTCGGACATCACTTTGGAGGGTAAGCCTCGACGACCCACAAAGCGTGCAAAGGCCAAGAATGCTTCAGTAGATAAATCAGAGCAGACTTCTAAGTGGATGGCTTTCGTTGAGAAGCAAACGAATACGCACACGTACGCTTTGTGATATGGGGCATTTCTGGTTAGTCCAGCTTTAACTAGAAATGGGACTGCAAAATCAACTCCAGTGACAGTAAACGGAATTGAGAATTTTACTCTTTCAGGAGGGAGCGCGGCCATTATTTGGGAGCGTACCTTTTGCTTATATTTCGTGCATGTTTTGCACTGGTATATGCACTTCTTTATGCGGGGGTTTAATCGGGGAATAAGAAATTCTTCGTGAACCATGCGAATCATTAGTGACTTGAAGGAGGGTTATGTAAAGAAATTGCAGATAAAGTTCACAGAACCTTGAGCTTCCTGGGAGTATAACCGGGTGTCGTTCGTTGTCGCTCAGAGTGGCATGGGCTAATCTTCCATTAACGCGCATTAAGCCTTGGTTATCCAGGAATGGGTTAAGAGAGAGCAAACTGCTTTTCTTACTGGCCAACTATTGGGGGAGTACACAGCCATTCCGGGCCATGCCACCATAGTGAGTGAGAGACTAATTCTTGCGGCTTGCAGCCACGGGTGCCTAAGTCAGCGGGGTTGTCTTTGCTCCTTACATGTCGCCAAGTTGAATTTCCTACGTTTTTGAGGATCTCGGAAATATGGTTAGCAACGTAAGTTTTCCATACGTATGGGCGTTTTTCAAGCCAAGCAAGCACGATGGACGAGTCGCACCATAAGTATACATGGGCTTTTTGTAGATCTAATTGGGACCGTACCTGGTTTAAGAGTTTGGAAAGGAGTACGGCTCCGCATAATTCCAGCCGCGGGAGACTGATTGTCTGTAGTGGAGCTACCTTGCCTTTCGCGACGAGTAGGCGGGTTGTAGCGGGGTTTACATCTTGTTGGCAGCGAATGTAGAGACGTGCACAATACGCCTCTTGTGACGCATCGTAAAATCCATGAATTTGAATGTTATAAGTGGGTGAGAATCCCATCCAACGGGGAATTTATATTTTTCCAACTTCGGATAGATTTTCCACAAATTTGCACCAAACATGAACGGAATTGGGTTTGGCACATTCATCCCAGTCTGTTCCTTCTTTCCATAGCGTTTGCAGGAGGATTTTCGCTCTAATCATTATAGGGTCAAACAGTTTGGCAACTGCTGAAAGTATCTGTCGCTTTGTGGCTTAGTGTGAGATTGAGGGCAAGTTGAACGTATAGGAAGAGGAGTCGAACACTGCGTTCCAATTAATTCCTAACGTCTTTGTCGTACTGTGATCTTCTAATTTGAGGAACTGTGAATCTAAGATATCGGTTTTGGGTACCTTTTCTAGTAGTTCGGCATTATTTGTAGTGATCTTCTTAAGAGGAAATCCTGCTGATTTCAAAGCTTTGATAAGTTCGGACAAAGAGTTCTGGGCAGTTTCTAGATCATGTGCTCCTGAAAATATATCATCTACATAAGTTTCCTACTTTAAAATTTTTTAACATAGGGGGAACTCGTACGCAGAGTCTTGGGCCAGTTGCTGCAGTGTTCTTATGGCTAGGTAGGGGGCACAGTTTACGCCGAAAGTCACTGTTTTTAGTCTGTAGTCACTGATTGGGTCATCGAGAGTCTTTCGAAAAACTATTCTTTGGAAATCGCGATCGTTTTCGTTAACCAATATTTGGCGGTACATTTTTTCAATGTCGCCATTGAATACAAACTTATAGTCTCCATTTCGAATGACTTCTTGGGATGGAGCGAGTTCCATGTGTTGCAGAGTCTCATATTCTTCCAGGACTTCGGAATAGGTCTCCTTCAGATCTTTCCTTTTGGCCAGGCTTCCCTCTAGGCTGAGGTATTGACTAAGAGAGGAAAACCTTGAGTGTCCAAGGGCTATGAGATCGGGAAATTCTTTCTTGAAAGGTAGTCGAACTTCATAACGACCATCTTCTCAACGGATCGTGGTTTCGCTGTAGAGGTCTTCAAAGAACTTGTCTTCCATCGATGGTTGGGCGGGATCTACCATGTTTTCCTGTTCCCAAAAACGTCTAACGAGTTCACTTATTGAGTCATCCGATGTTTCCTGGACTCTTGTTGAAAATGACGAAACTTGAGCTTGGACTGGGCCACTAAGAATCCATCCAAAGATGGTATTCTGTGCCAACAAGCTTTCGCCGACATTTTGGACTCCAGATAGAAATATTTTGGGGTTAGATCGCTGCCGATAACCAAGTCTATTTTACCTGAAGTGAAACAAGAGGGATCGGCGAGCTCTAACGAGGCAAATTGTATCATGTCCACATTCTTGATGGTAAATGATGGAAGGAACTGGGTGAGTTGAGGCAGAATAATGGCATCGGTTTCTACCTTCACCTTTTTATCTATAGCGCTCAGCGTTAGTGGGCATATTTGGGTTGAGTTCTGAACTATTCTTCCTCCCATACCGGAAATCTCATAAAAGGCCTTTTTTGTCGGAAGTTTTAATAAGTTCTTTACCCTCGACGGAATGAACGTTTTTTCGGAGCCGGGGTCTATCAAGACTCGTACATTATATGTATCTCCTAGGTTTAATATGGGGACAATCGCAGTTGAGAGCAGTATTTTTTCTTTACTGCTTGTGTGATGAGCCTGAATGTGTTCTCCAACTTCTTGACTAGATAAGTTTGGGTTTATCGGGTCGAAATTGCTTGGACCATTTGTAGCGAGTTCTTCCGTAGATCTAGCTGTTGTCGTGTGTACCGTCGATTTTTGGAGTCTAGGGTTAGAGTGTGAGTTGGAGTTTTGTGAGTTTGGAGTTAAATGTAGCATAGAGTGGTGGCTTTTCTGACAGTAAACACACGTAAAGCTGCTTCTACATTCTCTGGCTGAGTGGGAAAGCGCTATACAATTTTGACAATATCCACATTCTTTAATGAATTTCGCACGATCTTGGGGTGAGATTGTTTTAAATTTGGGACATATTTTTTGTGGATGAGCAGGCGATACCTTACACAATTTACAAGAACTGACGTATCTCTGATCATTGTAATATTATCGCACATTACTAGAACTGGGATGTGAGTTATGAAGTTGGGTTTTTATTGAGTTGAACGTGGGGTTGAAGTTTTGGAAACTTTGTTTGGGGTTCGGGTTGTGATTTAACTTTGTGTTTGGGTTTTGCGTGAGTTTAACTTTTGAAGGTCGGTGGGCATTTAACCTTTCTACTACCTCATACCTCGTAGTTAAAAATGAATCCATCTCGGACCAAAGAGGCAAATCTTTCCGAGACGAAAGTGATTGTTCCCACAAAGCCAATATTTCTTCTGGTAGTTTAGAGGTACATAAGTGAATCAAAATCGGATCCCAATTCGTAACCGAAACGCATTGAGCTTTTAATACGGAAAGGCAGTTATTTATGCTCGTTTGCAACTTTTGTAAAGACTGGCTATTTTCGCTGAAAACTGGAGCCAGGTTTAACAGTGTCTTGAGCTGGTTATCCACCAGGATTCTGCGATTTTCTTATCGCGATCGAAAGCTTCCCAAGCGAGTTCGAAGCTTTCATCGCTAAGTGGGTATTGCTTTACAATTGTACCTGCCTGGTCTTTGGTTATATATCTGAGATGATATAATTTTTGAGCTGGGGTTAATTTTGGGTGCCTTACGTATACTGCCGCAAACATATCTCTAAAGGCTGGCCATTCCTCATAAAAATCTTGGGTATCGCATGGTGGGACTTAAAGGTAAACTCCAGAAGAGTCTGATCTCTTTTCAGTGTCAACCGCGTTTTTTGAGCTTGGAATGGGGTTTTTTGGTTTGAAGAGTTCAAGAGCTTCGGCCATTTGAGCTTTACAGTTTTGATAACTCTCACTACATTTGTCAAATTTTTGCTCGACCGATTCGCTTACTTGTGAGTAGGAGTCTGATAAGGAAATACTTTGGTAGGTATCCAAAACCATTTCCCAATTTTGCTCGAGTTGTGAGATTTTAACGTTTAATAGGGCCACAGTTTGGTCCATTGCTACAGAAGGTGACCATTTTGAGCAAAATACCTCCAACCTATTCGTTTCAAAAATGAACCTTTTGAGGTCTCGATCAGGCCTTGATTTCGAGCTCTCTCGTTTTTTGGTCTCAGAGGATTTTGCGTCAATATCAAGCGTGTCCTTGTCGGACCCCATTACGAATAAATAGTTAGGGCTTATTGACTTAGGGTTACTCGATTTTGGGTTGTTGAGTTACAAAAAGCAAGGGTTTTGAAGGTTTTTTGAGGAGAGTATATTTTTAGAGCTGGAGATAAGAGAAATATCGTGAGAGATTATGTGTTCGATTTTTCTCTACTTTCGGAGCTTGCTTTTGTAGGTAAGTATTAATATTTGTTTCCGCTGTCGACCGCTGTGGTGTAGTGGTTAGCAGTGCGCGCTTTCACTCACCAGCACCAGCGTTCAAGCCCTGGTCAAAGCAACATCGCAAAAAATATAGAAAAAAGGTTTTTTCTTAACAGCGGTCGTCCCTCGGCAGGCAATGGCAAACCTCCGAATGTATTTCTGCCATGAAAAACAGCTTCTCATAAAAATACAATCGCCGTTCGGAGTCGGCGTAAAACTGTAGGTCCCTCCGCTTTGTGTGACAACATCAAGGCGCACGCCACAAGTCGGAGGAGAAGCTCGGCCAACACTAACATATGTGTAAGCGCTAATCTATTATTATTATTATTAGTATTTGTTTAATTAATATTTTTAATATTCGAGAATATTTTTGAGCGTGTAGCTTTATAGTGTATGTATGTATATGTGTATACAGAATTTTTTCTTTTTCACTCCGAGTAGTTTTACTATTTTGTGGACTGTATTGTATATTTTATTTTAATTTCGAAAACAATGGACGAAACTGAGGCCCTATTAAACGTTAAAATCTCACAACTCGAGCAAAATTGCGAAATGGTTTTGGATACCTACCAAAGTGTTTCCTTATCAGACTCCTAAGATAAGGTCGCGATAAAATCGCAGAATCCTGGTGGATAACCAGCTCAAGACACTGTTAAACCTGGCTCCAGTTTTCAGCGAAAATAGCCAGTCTTTACAAAAGTTGCAAACGAGCATAAATAACTGCCTTTCCGTATTAAAAGCTCAAGGCGTTTCGGTTACGAATTGGGATCCGATTTTGATTCACTAGCGCTGTCAAACTATCGATAGTCAAGTCCATCGATGTTTTACGATAGTCTTAAGGGTGACTATCGATACTATCGATAGTATCGACCCATTTCATATGTTTTTTTAAATCCATTTATTTTTTCGTTATCTTGCTCTTATAAATTTGTTTATTTTAGCGGCTCACGGTTGCATTTTAGAATCGAGAAATATTCACTCGCCGTGTAAAAAAAGCGATTTCATAAATTTTCCCTGCAATTCGCCTTTCGGAAATAAAAAACATTCTTTCGAAAGGCACTTTACATGCAAGGTGCCACTGCTCATGCAACTGCTTTCTGAAATTTCTCAATTTTACAGTCTACTGCATTGCCCGGTCTGACACGCTCTTAAGACGGCAATGTAACCCTGCTATTCCCACGCTTAAAATAAAAAATTACGCTTTTAGAAATAATGCCATGAACCAACTAAACAGATCACCCAGCACAGCAAGCGCGTATTTGTAATTGCAATTGAGAAAAAAAAAAAAAGTTTATAATGTCATTTTTTAATCGGTTGTTTCATTCATGCACATGGTTTCATTCCGTTTCACTCACATGGCGGCGAAAAAATTACGTCACTGCGAAAAATAATACTTGTTTCTCGCACACCGCCATGGTTGATCTTTCTTTATTCGTTCGTTCATGAAATAATGCTGCCAAATTTTGTTCTCTTTGAACCAATACGTGTAAAAGTCTAAAGCGCTAGGAACGAGAATTCGCTATCAATAAAGCGATAGTGACGATAGTACTAAAACTATCGATAGTTATTTCAAGTGACCAGACTATCGATACTATCGATAGTATCGTCGATAGTTTGACAGCTCTATGATTCACTTATGTACCTGTAAACTACCAGAAGAAACATTGGCTTTGTGGGAACAAGACCATCGGCGAGTTAACCAACCTAGTGCGCTTAAGTATGTTCGTATGTATGTATAAACGGGTTTGTGTGTTATACTGTGCGTTGATATGTAACAGGAAAATTAAGNTTTTTCTTTTTCACTCCGAGTAGTTTTACTATTTTGTGGACTGTATTGTATATTTTATTTTAATTTCGAAAACAATGGACGAAACTGAGGCCCTATTAAACGTTAAAATCTCACAACTCGAGCAAAATTGCGAAATGGTTTTGGATACCTACCAAAGTGTTTCCTTATCAGACTCCTAAGATAAGGTCGCGATAAAATCGCAGAATCCTGGTGGATAACCAGCTCAAGACACTGTTAAACCTGGCTCCAGTTTTCAGCGAAAATAGCCAGTCTTTACAAAAGTTGCAAACGAGCATAAATAACTGCCTTTCCGTATTAAAAGCTCAAGGCGTTTCGGTTACGAATTGGGATCCGATTTTGATTCACTAGCGCTGTCAAACTATCGATAGTCAAGTCCATCGATGTTTTACGATAGTCTTAAGGGTGACTATCGATACTATCGATAGTATCGACCCATTTCATATGTTTTTTTAAATCCATTTATTTTTTCGTTATCTTGCTCTTATAAATTTGTTTATTTTAGCGGCTCACGGTTGCATTTTAGAATCGAGAAATATTCACTCGCCGTGTAAAAAAAGCGATTTCATAAATTTTCCCTGCAATTCGCCTTTCGGAAATAAAAAACATTCTTTCGAAAGGCACTTTACATGCAAGGTGCCACTGCTCATGCAACTGCTTTCTGAAATTTCTCAATTTTACAGTCTACTGCATTGCCCGGTCTGACACGCTCTTAAGACGGCAATGTAACCCTGCTATTCCCACGCTTAAAATAAAAAATTACGCTTTTAGAAATAATGCCATGAACCAACTAAACAGATCACCCAGCACAGCAAGCGCGTATTTGTAATTGCAATTGAGAAAAAAAAAAAAAGTTTATAATGTCATTTTTTAATCGGTTGTTTCATTCATGCACATGGTTTCATTCCGTTTCACTCACATGGCGGCGAAAAAATTACGTCACTGCGAAAAATAATACTTGTTTCTCGCACACCGCCATGGTTGATCTTTCTTTATTCGTTCGTTCATGAAATAATGCTGCCAAATTTTGTTCTCTTTGAACCAATACGTGTAAAAGTCTAAAGCGCTAGGAACGAGAATTCGCTATCAATAAAGCGATAGTGACGATAGTACTAAAACTATCGATAGTTATTTCAAGTGACCAGACTATCGATACTATCGATAGTATCGTCGATAGTTTGACAGCTCTATGATTCACTTATGTACCTGTAAACTACCAGAAGAAACATTGGCTTTGTGGGAACAAGACCATCGGCGAGTTAACCAACCTAGTGCGCTTAAGTATGTTCGTATGTATGTATAAACGGGTTTGTGTGTTATACTGTGCGTTGATATGTAACAGGAAAATTAAGAGAAACGTATGCACCTATGTACAAACGCACATACGCATATACGTAGGTATGTATGTTATAAAGATCAGCGGTAGAAGTAAGTATTTTATGTTAAATTTATCGTTCGAGTTTATGAACAGTATTGTGGAAATCGCTTTGGCTTAGTTAAATGTTCCTCTCTTGGGTATATAGCCGCGATGGGAGGCAAAACAAATAACTTGATGGCAAAAATAGTATTTGGGTTGCTACCACCCTAGTACTCACCCTCATACATGTGTATAGCATGTATACATGTGTCTAAACGTACGTATGTATGTACATCTGCATGTATTACTGATGCACTACGCTTTTGAGTGAGAGTTGAGCAAGTGTTAAAATTTGATATTTAGTATATGTATAATATTTATGTACGTGAGTGTTTATAAAGGTGAGAGACACCAAAATGCAAAGTTATAGCGAGCTTTGAGTGTGATTTTTGTATGGTGAGTGAGTTTATGTGATTTATTTGGGTATTTCCATGCATATAAGTAAATATATGTATGTATACCGAAATTTCTTTTAGCACCGTTTATCTTTATAAATATGTACATATATATTTAATTATTTACTTATTTATGTATGTATGTGAATATATTTATAAATTTTTAACCACGGACGCATTAATGTGCATATATATTGCGAAAACCGAAAATTCATAAGGTATACCATATACCAAATTTATTTGCAAGGGTTTGCCAAATAAAAATAAGCATACATAAATATGTCGAAAGACCTTTACGCAAATTTCGCTTTGATACGAAATCGATCACTCGCTATATCTTTATTAATTTTTCGATGGGATATGAGGTCACTTACTGCGCCATCCGTATGTTTTATTTAGGTAACCTTATTCTGTTGCGTCTTATCGCGCCTCCAGATTTCCACCAGACTGTTCTTCTTGCTATTCCTTCGGATTCCGCGATTGCTCTTTTGCTTTTTTTGTTTGTCACTGTGCCTGTGAACTTTACGCCTTTCTTCTGCCTTCCACCTTCTTTGACGCTTCAGGATTCCAGTTTTATTTATAAATTAAATTTTTGTTTTAAATTTTTCGTTTAATTTTACAGAGTTTAAAAATGTTTTTTTTTCCGAACGTCACCGAGTTTAAGCGCGATAGGGATTAGAAATGCGTATTAAAATTTATACTTTTTGACATTTGCCAGCAGTGCAGAGCCGATTCAATTGCTAACTGAACGGCTTGAAGGACCATCGACGAGATTTAAGCGGAGTTGCTTAAACCTCGTAGGGGGGTTGTGTGAAGCGACTTTATAAATAAACAATCAGAAAAATGTATCCTTAATTCAATATATGTACAGCGTTTAATTAAAAACTCAAAATTTACAATTCGCGTTTAACTAGTGTAAGTATTATATACAGCAAATTAAACTTCAAAAGTACGAGAGTAGAATGTCGTTCGGTTGGCGGTCGCGAAACTAATGTCGCTTTCGCCTTACAAAAGGGACGTATATATGTATATACATATGTAACAAAATTGAATAAAAAATTGAGGGATTTTATAGTTCAATAAGGTTGCCGGCTTGCCCATCATGACCACTTGGCAAAAAGTGGTTTGGTTATAATTTTTTGACCACTGTATGTAGAACACCTAAACCCCCCCTAAGTACGGCCTTGATACATGCCAGATCACGTTTGTAGGACTTAGTGTCGAGCGTATTTGCTCAAACTTGCGCACCATAGAAAGACGCGGACTTAAATCCCTAAGCTAAAATAAAGTCGGTTCTATTCTTTTTGGGAGCACGTGCATTAACCATCATTCTTGGTAAATTGCCGCATGTTTTTGCTGATTTTTTCGCAAAAGCTTCCTTCTCCACCTGGTTTATCGATCGCAAAGGAGGCCTTCCTCGTCCTCTGTTAGCAGCATTGCTAGCCGCGTTTAATACCTTCAGAGTTAGAGCGTTTCTGTCCATTCGTACGATATGAAAAAGCTAGCCTAGCCGCTGTATTTTAACTCGCCGCACTATGTCTATATCGTTGTAAAGCTCATTCATCGTTATATCGTCTGCGGTATTCGCCATGGCCAAAGCGGGGCGTTATGAGTGCCCTTTGTACGACGAGAAAGCACTTTGCTTCTCAATTTCTCAATTGCTTACTCAATCCAAAATAGCACTTGTTAGCACTGTTGCCGACATAGTTCTTTTCGCACTAAATTTAGTGCTTTTCTTAATTCAAAACGCGAAAATTTTTGAGTTTGGTGCTTGGTGCTTTTTTTGTTAGTTTGAAGACACCAAAACTCTAAATCTGAAACAAAAATGGAAGTTAAATTTAGAGCAGTTGGAAGTTTCACAAGGAACTTTACAAAAATGGAATCAAAATCATGGCATAATGACAATCATAAGCGAAAGAGCATATGTTTGTCAAAAAAATATGCGGCAGCAATATAAATCATGCTGGGACCATGAATCGATCTTTAGACCTTTAGTTTGGGCTGAATTTGTTATATTTTTTTTACACAAAAAGATTTTTTCCACTATGCGCCGGTGGATGCGTTCAAATAAGACAACGGTTGCCAGACGTACTGATTTTATCAGTACAGTACTGATTTTTCAACTCTCGTACTGATTTTATTAATTTCTTCAATCAGTACGCTAATATCCTGATTTTTCAAAATTTGTACTGATTTGTACTGAATTTTCATTTCTGAGCACACACATCTTTGTCGATAACATTTGTTATCTCGAAAATAACTTTAAGTTTAATAAGAACCAATTAGAATAATTGAATGGCTTTACCGGCAACATACAATTACTTTTTCTCAATTTACTGACATTGTAAAAGAATTTTTCACACAATACATCGAGTTAAATACCTTTTTTAGCGAATTCTTAGTCTCATGAAGTCCTTAAATAGTGGTACGTTTCCATAGTTTGAAAAAATATGTAATTTTGGTTTTTCAATACCACGCTCAAGCGGAGCAACTGAGAGGAACTAAAGTATTTGCTTCCAGTCGAAAAGAGAGAAACCGACTTCTAATTAAAATTTTTGAAAGTGAACTTCAAATTAACAAGTAATTTTTAGCAAAAAAAAACCGACTTCAACTCTCATATAAAAAAAAAATATATATATATATATATATA